TCCTGCCTACACTTTGAGTCCTGAACTAGCTCCCTCTTCCTCAAACACTCCAGCCCCTCCACTGTAACAATCTTCCTTCCCGACAATACTCGGAGTTCCTTTCGCCCCTCTGAGGTTGCCCTTCCTCCCTATGTTCATACTCTATGATGAGGCCACTTTTCATGCTCCTCCATGCCTAAAATAACCTTATTTCCTTACCATCTAGAACAGCACGAGAGCAGAGTCACTGTCTGCCCTTTCACCATCATATCCCAGGGCCTAGACCCACTCAGGTATTAGGTGCTCAAGGAAAGTCTGAATGAATAAAAACAAAGGAAAAAGCCCATAGTTCCCGGTCCTAGGGAATTCAGTCTTACAGGAGATACCAACAAGCAAATGCGCAATTACAACACTATGTCAAGGGCTTTGGAAAAGTTAAATGTTGGGGATGATGTGGGAGCAAAAGCAAGCCTAATATTGTCTTAGGGGATAAAGTTTTAAGAAGAAGTAGGAACGCCATGCAGTGTCGTCAAATGTAGGGACTACAACTTCTCAGGGTGGTGGTGGTAAAGAGTGTTAAAAAGTGTCCAAAGCTTCAATAAGGTAAAGATGAAAAAGAGTAGACAGGCAAAAATCATCTCGGTCAAATTCAAAAGTATTCATCTTTTCACCAACTAAAATCAAGTTTCCCTCACAACTGTGGAGGAAAGGAAAATAAGGACAAAGTTCTATTCAACAAATTCTACTGCATAGGAAGGGCTGGAGTTTCTTTAAATCTTACTTGTTCCCTTTCATTTTCCACCCCTGGGTTGTAGGCTCTAAAATATATTTTTTCCGTTTGAGTTAAATCACGCAAAAATATCCCTCACTCTTGGTAGTTAATGCTCAAACTTTCTAATTCTTGAGGCCCTTTTGCAACAGGGAAACTATTCTTGGCAGTTAGTCCCAAACTGAACAAAACCACTCAAAGGATCAGTTCTCTCTCCCTGTTTAAACCACTAACACTAGTAGAGACTATGTCAATAAGCTGATTCTGTGGCAAGAAAACACGAGGGTTTCTTTTTGTTTCTGTTTTTTTTTAAAGATCAGATCTACAGTTAAAGAGGCAATGTGGCTGAAAGGATTATACTCAAGGCTTGAAGCCAGAAGCCTGAAACATGAAATTCAGCTCTGCCAGTCACTGCTCTGACAATGTTCTGTAACTCCTTCAGCAAACAAAACGGCAAAAAGTTAAATAATCCTAAGTCAGAATGAAATAATTAAACAGAAAAATTAAAAATCAGAAATAATTATAAAAACGGAAGAAAACACTGATAGATACGAGATCAAAAATAAGTTTTTAGGCTCGGCGCCTATAGCTCAACCGGCTAGGGCGCCAGCCACGTACACCTAAGGTAGCGGGTTTGAATCCCCAGCCCGGACCCGCCAAACAACAATGACGGCTGAAACCAAAAAATAGCCGGGCGTTGTGGCGGGCGCCTGTGGTCCCAGCTACTTGGGAGGCGGAGGCAGGAGACTCGCTTGAG